AGCGCTTGATCTGAGCCAGAAACGGGGTCAGGAACCCCAAAAACGGGGTTAGGAACCCCAAAAACGGGTTAGGAGCCCCAAAAATGAGATCAGGAACCCCAAAAACGGGGTTAGGAACCCCAAAAACGGGTTAGGAGCCCCAAAAATGAGATCAGGAACCCCAAAAACGGGGTTAGGAACCCCAAAAACGGGGTCAGGAATCCCAAAAATGAGATCAGGAACCCCAAAAACGGGTTAGGAACCCCAAAAATGAGATCAGGAACCCCAAAAACGGGGTTAGGAACCCCAAAAATGGGTTAGGAACCCCAAAAATGAGATCAGGAACCCCAAAAAATGAAGTCGCACTGGCCGCAGTCCTCGGGGCGCCGGCACGCCTCGCACTCCCCGCACATGCGGGCAGAGCGCTTGATCTGCGCCAGAAATGGGGTCAGGAACCCCAAAAATGGGGTCAGAAACCCCAAAAATGGGGTTAGGAACCCCAAAAATGAGATCAGGAACCCCAAAAACGGGGTTAGGAACCCCAAAATGGGGTTAGGAACCCCAAAAATGAGATCAGGAACCCCAAAAACGGGGTTAGGAACCCCAAAAACGGGTTAGGAGCCCCAAAAATGAGATCAGGAACCCCAAAAATGGGTTAGGAGCCCCAAAAATGAGATCAGGAACCCCAAAAACGGGTTAGGAGCCCCAAAAATGGGGTCAGGAACCCCAAAAATTGGTTAGGAACCCCAAAAATGGGTTAGGAACCCCAAAAATGAGATCAGGAACACCAAAAATGAGGTTAGGAACCCCAAAAATGAGATCAGGAACACCAAAAATGAGGTTAGGAACCCCAAAAATGAGATCAGGAACACCAAAAATGAGGTTAGGAACCCCAAAAATGAGATCAGGAACACCAAAAATGAGGTTAGGAACCCCAAAAATGAGATCAGGAACACCAAAAATGAGGTTAGGAACCCCAAAAATGAGATCAGGAACACCAAAAATGAGGTTAGGAACCCCAAAAATGAGATCAGGAACACCAAAAATGAGGTTAGGAACCCCAAAAATGGGTTAGACGCCCCAAAAATGAGATCAGGAACCCCAAAAATTAGATCAGGAACCCCAAAAATGAGATCAGGAACACCAAAAACGGGTCAGGAACCCCAAAAATGAGATCAGGAACACCAAAAACGGGTCAGGAACCCCAAAAATGAGATCAGGAACACCAAAAATGTGTCGCAAACCTCAAAAATGAGATCAAGAACCCTGAAAATGGGGTTAGGAACCCCAGAAATGGGTCAGGAAACCCGAAAATGGAGTCAGGAACCCCAAAAACAGGGTCAGGAACCCGAAAATGGGGTTATGAACACCAGAAATGGGTTAGGAACACCAAAAACAGTGTGAGGAACCCCAAAAACGAGATCAGGAACCCCAAAAATGGAGTCAGGAACACCAAAAACAGGGTCAGGAACCCCAAAAATCGGGTTAGGAACCCTGAAAATGGGTTAGGAACCCCAAAAATGGGTTAGGAACACCAAAAAATGGAGTCAGGAACACCAAAAACAGGGTCAGGAACCCCAAAAATCGGGTTAGGAACCCCAAAAATGGGTTAGGAACACCAAAAAATGGGTCAGGAACACCAAAAATGGGTTAGGAACACCAAAAAATGGGTCAGGAACACCAAAAAATGGGTTAGGAACACCAAAAAATGGGTCAGGAACCCCAAAAATGGGTTAGGAACACCAAAAAATGGGTCAGGAACACCAAAAAATGGGTTAGGAACCCCAAAAATCAGGTTAGGAACCCCAAAAATGGGTCAGGAACACCAAAAAATGGGTCAGGAACCCCAAAAATGAGATCAGGAGCCCCAAAAACGGGTCAGGAACAACAGAAACGGTTCTGAATAACAAGATCCAGCACCCCGAAACCTGGAGTCTAGGACCCCGAAACCTGAGAGCTAGAGTCCCGGAACCTAGAACCGAGTCTAGAACCGAGTCTAGAACCGGGTCTAGAACCCCGAAACCTAGAACCCCGAAACCTAGAACCCCAGAGTCTAGAACCCCGAAACCTAGAACCGAGTCTAGAACCCCAAAACCTAGAACCCCGAAACCTAGAACCGAGTCTAGAACCCCAAAACCTAGAACCCGGTCTAGAACCCCGAAATTCTGAGACCTGGAACCCCGAAAACTAAGTCTGGGACCCCGGAAACTGTGATTGAGAGCCCCAAAAAACGAGATTGAGAACCCCAAAAACTGCGATCTTGAACCCCAGAAAACGAGATCCGGAACCCCGAAAATGGGGTCAGGCACCCCAAAAATGGAGTCAGAAACCCTGAAAACTGGGTGAGGGTCCCCAAAAATGGGATCAGGTGCCCAAAACTGAGTCAGGTACCCCAAAAATTGAGGTACCCCAAAACCAGATCAGGACACCCCAAAAATGGAGTTAGGAACCCTGAAAAGCAGGTGAGGTGCCCCAAAAATGGAGTCAGGAACCCCAAAAGTGAGCCAGGTACCCCAAAAACTGAGGTACCCCAAAACCAGATCAGGAACCCCAAAAATCCGTCTGGGGCACCCCAAAACACACCCAGGGAACCCAAGCCGGGTGCAATCCCAGACCCCTGGAGAGGCTCAGGGGTCCCCCAAAGGCCCCCCAGACCCCCCCAAATCCTCATCCAAAGGGTCTCGGGCCCCTCCCAGCCCCCCCAGATTTTGGGGTCTCCCCTTTTTTGGGGTGCCCTGAGCCCCCCCAAGCCCACCTTGGCGGCCCGGCCCTGCTCCAGCTCCTGGCCCTTGGTGCCCTCGTGCTCCTTCTCCCTCCACTTCTTGTGCCGGTAGCGGATCTCCAGGCTCGGGTCCTTCTCTGGGGGGGTCAGGGGGGGCTCAGGGGGGGCTCAGGGGGACCCCGACCCCCTCCCCAAATCCCCTGACCCAGTGACCCCCCCCTCAACGAGGGACCCCCGGATCCCCCTCCCCAAAAATCGCCACCCAGGAGGCCCAAAACGGACCCCAAAATCCGCCCTACACCCCCCCAAACTGGACTCAGGTGTTTGAGACCCCCCCAAAAAACACCCAGACCCCTCCTCAAATTATCCAGAACTCCCCAGACCCCTCCAAATTATCCAGAACCTTCCAGAAACCACGAGACCCCTCCTCAAATTATCTAGAACCCCCCAGAAACCACCCAGACCCCTCCTCAAATTATCCAGAACCCCCCAAAAACCACCCAGACCCCCCCAATTATCTAGAACCCCCCAGACTCCCCCAAATTATCCAGAACCCTCCAGAAACCACCTAGACCTCCCCAATTATCTAGAACCCCCCAGACCCCTCCCCAAACTATCCAGCACCCCCCCACAACACCCCCAC